CAAAGATGTGTGTTTGGTTTTTTTTAGAAAGTCGGATACATTTCTAGAACAATTTGATGGATGGATGTATAAGATTATAGATTGGATTCAATCGAAAGGGGCATCATATCAATGTGGTTTGGAAAGTTACCAAAAGAACTTTTGATATCCTTTGATTGAAGATCACAAAACAAGACCAATTTTGTTAGACATGTCAGAAATGTTGTAATACAAGCAAGGAAAACAGAAAACATACTTGATGTATCTGCAAACATACCTACATAATTAAATTTCTAATTAAACTTGCAGTGTCCAAAAGCTGTGAAACAAGGGATCTTGTGAGGTTGATCTGGTTGATTTTATTGATCAACAAACTTTGATCAAATTTCAACAAAATAGCAATATTCCTTGTATGTATAATTCTTTCTCCATGTATCAATTGGCTTGAGATCAGCAGTCACAATGCTAGACCTTGCTAGACAGCCTGAAATCCAACTTTGACTTAAGAGGCTCATTGGTCACATCATTAATCTTGAAAGTGGGCTACAAGGTTTAATCCTCATATATTGAAATCCAGTGCATATCAGAACCTCATGTTGCACAGCTGAGTAATACTTGATTACTGGCTAGATGTATTGATTTGTTATTTGATATGAACCCCTTCATCAAGTAAAAAACTGCATGTGGTCAACAGCACACGCAAAGAAAGGATCAGTTTACTTGACCAGGCTAGATGATGGGCTACTGAGAAATACTTTTTCCCAGCTGGCTGTTTTGTACTTCACCAAATCAAGTCAAGGAATAGATATGTGTACTTATTTTGATTTAGGGCTGTGACCCAGCCCTGGCCCCCGCCATCCGAGTCTGCCCAACATCATTCTGCAGGCACACAGTAGGTGCCCTGACACACCGCCACGCATGATTGAGTTAATGAAAGCCCTGCGGGCACCTTGGGCGTGTCCGGGCCTCTCAAGGCCTGTTTTTTTTGCCGTGTTGACAAAATGATTCTTTCTAAATTTCCTCCTATAGCTCTTTTCAATTTTGATGTAGGCTCATATAGCTTCTACAAAGCATCACTTACACATAAACTTGCAATAAAAATTCAAAATAATCACCATATTGCTCAGCTTTAGCACCTAGAATTAGCTCAGTGCATGCCCTGGTTGGCCCTGAGCACTTTCTGAAAGCCCTCGGGTCTACTCAGGGTCCGGAGAAGCCCTGGGGCCTACCCTGAAGGTTCAGGGCCGGGTTACAGTCCTATTTTGATTTGTCTGAAATAAAATTTTGTTATGAAATGAACTTTCAGCAAATAAATCCAAGGGTGTTGCTGATGTGATAACTACATTGCAGTAAGAAAGGAGAACATGAGATTAAACTTATAATCCCAAAGTATGGAATATAGGTTGAAGAAAAGTGGTATAATTGCACCTTTCCCTGACCTCATAAAGAGGGGTAAGTCTTGATTTGATTTTTCAATGTTCTTCTTCCTTCATAAACTTGACTTAATTTTGGGGTTTCTTGCACCCATTATAAAAATCTTGTACCCTCCAAATCTCCTTTGCTCACCACTCCTCCCATAATTTCATCAATAGAAAGATATTTGAAGTTTGAACTATTCAGGACAGAAGATGAGTAAATGAGAACAGAGCACAAAATTCAAAACAAGTATAGAAATAAAAATTACAAAAAACTTATGTTTATTCAATAGAATAAAGCACAAGCACACAGATAGGTAAAGCTAGATAGGAGATACACTTCTTCTATGTTCTTGACCATGTGAGTTAAATCACCTATCATGAACTATAACTCATAATTTACAAAACATTGACTTTGGCCAACTATATTCTATCGGTGGTGTTGCAGCTTGCTCATGGGGGTGGCATCAATGTTGAGAATGCCACTGGTGAGATTGAACTTGTGTAGCTGTAACAGGCCTTGATCACCTTCATGAACAATCTCTTTGAGTGAGTGGACCCCATTTGAGGAATTTAGATATTCTTCAAGAAGTTTACCGACTGGAATTTCTGAATCCTTGCAATTTGCTGGGTACCTGTGAGACATCTGAGACTGAAATTCAGACTGTTTCTCACCTATCACTCACAATAATTTTGATGAAGTGAGTCTGGAGTCTAAATTCAAAAAAGTGCTAGGGCCGCTTGTACAACCCGCATCAACAGACTTACATACACAGGGGCATTTCAAGTCATATTCCATAGTGCAATTTCCAATAAGAACTTGGTTGGGTCGGTATTTTGGAGAAGCTGTGTGAAGATCCATCTCCCCAGCAAGAGAGGTCACATTATATGGGCTCAATATCTCCAATTAAGTACAAATAAGGTTGTAGGAAAATGATAGTACATTTCAATGATGTCAGAGAGATCCTGATTCTTGAAATGGTACACCTAGCTGGATTTGATACTTCTAGATCCAATGATACAACACATTAGCACAAATCCCAAGAGGTTTTGTTTGTAAAAATCAAAACCACCTGAAAATATGACAGCAATGGGAAAGCATGTTGTAAAGCCAGAGCCAAGATAT